CGAAAGGACAGGCTGTGCTGGCACGCGGCCCATTAGGTCGGGGCTTCCGCGAGGTAAGGCCCGCTCCGTGCAGCTCGGAGTCGCCGCGTGTCCCCGGGCACGTGGCCAGGGCGCTGCGCGGCGTCGCCTCCCTGCGCTTGCGGGAGAGCCGCTCCTCCGCCAAAGGGCCAGTGCCCGCGGCCGTGGCGCCCAGCCTGCGGGCACAGGGGCAGGGGGATGAGCCGCTGGGCCCGGGGAAGTCCCGGGGCTCCGGCCAGCCGCCCCCCCACGCTCTCCAGGGGCGTCTTCTGAGGGTCCCCCACGCGGAAAGAGGCAGCTGCAGACTGCAGAGAAGGGCTCCGGGCTGCAGCAGAAGCCGGGCAGCCCCTGCCAACCAGGCTGCCGCCCCTGCAGAAAGGCCCAAGGGGGCGCCTGGGGGGCAGCATGGGTGAGCAGGCGGCCCGGCGGCCGGGGATCGGTCCGGCAGAGGACCTCCCTGCACCCCCGCCTTTCCTCCAGCAGGCCTTGGACAGCACGGGCGGGCAGCGCTGCGGGGCTCTGGGAAAGGCTCGGGGCTGCGGCCCTGGGGGGCCGGCCACTGCAACCGCCTCCAGCTCACAGCCCCGTTCCCGAACTTCCCGGTGCTGGCGGGGAGGGGGCGGAGCCATTCGGATGAGGAGCCCCACCCACGAAGGTGGCCACGCCCCCATTTTGCATGGGTGCCTCGCCCCCCTCGAAGCTGCCCAGACGGGGTGACTCCTTGGCGGTGAATCCCATCACTCAGCCACGCGCTGTGGGGAGAAGCCCCCCGCCCCCCGTCCGGAGAGAGCGCTCCGCAGCGCGGGGGGACCCGCGGGGTTCTCGTGTTGTGGGGAAGGTGGGGGCGGGCCTCCTCCTCTCCCCACACTTTCTCCACACCACGCACAGCTCTGTGCGCCCCTCATCAAATCTGCCCCAACGCACCCCTTGTCCATGCTAAACAGGCCCCACTGCGGTCCGCGCCCCTCGGAGCGAGCTGGCCCAGCGCACGGGCGTTTCAGCCGCCCAGCCCCGGTCTGCCCCCCCCGCCTGCCCCCGCCACCTGAGCCACGCGCAGCACTGCAAGTGGGGCCACCCCATGCATTTCCACGGGGGGTCCGATCCGGGCAGGTTGGCCCCTCAGCCCCTTCCCAAGGGCGCCTCACGCAGACTGGCCCTTGCAGCGGCCGCCCGCTGGGTCGGCGCTCCCGGGGCAGCCCCACGATCCCCGATCAGCCGCCGCGAGCTGATCCGCAGCCCGGGCGCGGCGGGGGCGGGCGGGCACTTGGCTCCCCGGAGGAAGGGCGGCTGCGCTCGGCGGCCCGACCCCGCGGTCTCGGTCTCGGGGCTCCCTGCAGCGCCTCCCCGCCCGTGTCACCCGGCCACCCAGCATGGGCTGGGGTCACCAGCGGACGTGTCGGACCAAAAGGCGGCGGGGGGGGGGACCTTCTCCCCTCTTTGCCTTTTGCTCTTGGGAGGAGAAAATGTGGGATTAACTGTGCACGCCTGAGTAGAAGTAAACCAGTGAGTTTGATGGGACTTTCTCCCAAGTAGACAGGCCGATAAAGCAGCCAAACAATTTGGCAAGATGAAGTTTAAACAGAGTTTTGGTCACTCAACATGAAACTATTCAAGGGTACAGACGTGAGGTGTCAGTGGGGGGGGGCAATCTGGAGTGCCCGCCCCTTCCCCCTTTAAAATGCATTTTTAATTGCATCTTGCAAAACAAAACTTGAACAATGCCTTGAAGGGAGAAAAAGAATAAAGAAGTATGAGAAACCAAACGAAAATAAACTATGACGGGGGAGGGAGGGGGTTTTGGGGGGGTCAGTTTTAAAGTATCTATTGTGCTAATGACATGCAAGAGGTAGACACCTGTGTTGTATACAGCAAAACATGCTACTACCATTATTAAAAACAATTAGGCATAGCCTTAAACAAAAGCACCCCAAATATCCATGTATTTATCCAGTTGCAGTTTACACCTAGCGGCTACCCATGCAACAATGGCACGTTTGATTAAATCTTCCCTCCGCTGTGTCCTTGCTCGGGGCTGGTTATCCTCACAGTGCTACGACATTAGGCTTTCAGCTGTCAAAAGGGTGGGCAAAATCCATGTACGCTGATTTTGCCTCACATTCCACGAGCTGGTAGGCACTCCAACAGAACGCACGTGATAGTCAAGGGCTTCGGGCCACCAGGTTTACCCGCATGATCCGTTCCTCCCGAAGGGAAGCTGCCAGCGAGCGGTGCCGAGGGGATGCGAAGAGGGGCGGCCTTCCGGGCACTGCGCTGGTCGAATGAAGCCCCTTCCGCAGAGGACTGCTGCGTCCCCGCAGGGCGGGAGGCCCGGGCGCCCTGCGGAACAGGCCGGAGCGGGCCTTGGGGACGGGGGCCGCCCCTCACAGGACGCCGGCTCCGTCACTCAGCCAGAAGCAGGCGCCCTTTGCGCGCCCTCCCGCCGCCCGCCGCCCCCTCTGGGGTCCGCGGCGCGCGGTCAGCCAGGGCGTTTCGGTCTGGGCTTCCCTCCCGCCCCTTCGCCACCAGGCTCCCGGAGCGAGTCACGAAGCCTGAAGATATGCGACAAAATCCAAGTACGACGACCAGTGTCTACCCCCAACCCCCGGCAAGCGCAAGCCTTCCAGGGGCCTCACGGGGCCACCGGGCGCGCAAGCCCAGCCTGAATGCGCAACGGCAGATAACAGCCAGACACACAATATTACAACCGCTGAACCCGCCCAGCGCCTGGAAGGACGAGGCCTTGGGCGGCGCTGAAAGGGGCGCGCAAGGGGCGCCCGGCGAGCCTCTCCGGGGAGCCCGGCTTTGCACGCGCGCCGCGGCGGGAGGGCTCCCCGGAGGGAACGGGGCGCTCCGCGTGCTCCGCAGGCAGCCCTCCCGGCTTTCCCGGGCACACGCCGGGCACGGCCTCAGCCAAGGCCTCGCCCGGTCGCCCCCGCCCGCAGCTGCGGGGTCGCCTCCGACCCTCGCGGGGACAGGGCTACCGAAGCTCTCGGGAGACGGGCCACGGCGCGGGTCCCACGGAGGCACCGGGCAGGCGGCGCGCGGTCGCCCCGGCCCCGCCTCGGCGCTTTCCGCGTCCAGGCGCAGCTCTCCCGCGGGCGCGGGCGACCCGGGTGCGCGCAGAGGAAGGGCCGGCGGCCCCGCGCCGCCTTTGGTCCGCGTTTCTTGGCCGGCAAACGAGCGTGTGCGCGCGGGGTTGCTGCCGAGTCCCATCTCCTGGGTTGGATAATATCTCCAGGAGAGAAATCTGCTCTTTTGACACGTTCAGTCAAACAAAGGAGCTTTGATGAAGTCCTGTCGCCCGCATCTCGCAAGCCACTGAACCAAACACGATACTTTTGGTCCCACGAATAGATCCAACTTGGCTCGTAAAAATGCAGCCGAGCACGAGGTTTTCCCGGGAGGGGCCTTCTCGCGCGCAGTCACCCGGCTTCCTGTCATTTTTCTGGCGCCCCTTCCAGAAAAGGACGCGGAATGTTTCCATGCATGGGACGGATCAGCGCGTGGACGTGGCAGGTGTCAGGACACGCCGCGGGGCCCGTCGCCCGGGAAGCGCTTCCCGGAAAACGAGCTGCTCGCCGGAGGTGCTCGGGGCGGGGGCCCGCTCCCCGCAGCGGGGCCGCGCCCCGGCCTCGTGTGCGGCCCGCGGGGCGGGGCGGCATTTGCGCCCCCCGTGCCCGGCGCCTCAGCGCGCTCCCGCGGCGCCTCCTGTGCCGCCACGGCCGCGGGGAGCAGGGGGCCCGGGCCGCGCGCGCCCTCGCGCAAGGGCTGGCGGAGAGACCCAGCGGACGGGCGGCTCGGCTGGGCTGCGCGTTGCGTCAGCATCCCCAGCGCCACCTTTCCCCCACGCAGCAGCGGAGACCCCCAGCGGCCTCCCCAGGACGCACCAATCCTGCCTCCTCCAGAGGACAGCGGCGACGCGGGGCAGGGCGGGGCAGGGCAGGCCATTCCGGGGGCGCTGGGCTGCTTCCCCCCCCCCCCCAGAGCCCAGGCAGCTGCACTCCCACCACCAACACTGCCGTTTGTGCTACTGCCTCGGCCACAGCCCGCCCCCCCCCCACGACTTCGGCCGCAGTCTTTTCTGTTGCTGCTGCTGCGCTGCACCGGCAGGCTTGGGGAGCACACAGGAGAGCCCTGGGGGCCCTTCTGGCTGCGGGGGACCTGGAACCAGCAGCACCCCCAGAGTCCTCAGCTCTGCAGGCGCCTCACTTGGCAGAAGAGCACAAGGCTCTGGCTCCAGTCCGGCATCTCTGGGCTGCTGGAGGGATCCCAGGTAGGGCTGCTGGAGGGGCCCCCCTTGGCGCTGGGGAGCCATTCTGGGCCACAGCGGGGGGCCCTGGCTGGGAGGGGCGGGGCGGGCGGGTGGCCGCTGTGCAGAAGCCGGCTTCAGAGGCGGGGCCTGTGCAAGAGCCCCTCAGGTCTGCGGCAGGCAGGCACACGGAAGGCTGGCGCTCCGCACCGCGTCCCCCGCAGTGGCAGCCAGGGTGTCTCTCTGGGAGCTTCCCAGTGGGGTGGCACCCCGTCAGTGCCCCGCTTCCCAGCTGTGGTGCCTGGCAGCAGAGCCGAAGCACCCTTTTTCCGGCATCCGGCGTGTGCCGGCAATGCGGCCACGCTTGCTGCAGGGCCACCGTATCCTCGCGCTCCCGTGAGCTGCGGGAGAGACGTGCCCATGTTGATCCCGCCCGGTCGGCATCTGGGGCTGGCCCCGTGTCCGCAAAGCGAGGTGGCAGTGCAGGGAGATGGCAGGAGGGGGCTGGGGGGGGCGCAGTGCCCTACACCTGCCGGGAAGGGCGGAGAAGCTGCAGGGCTTGGGGACCCCCATCAAGCCACCTGCTCGTCCCGGTCCAGGTTGGGCTGGTGGGTTTCACTTGTGGCCCTCGCCCAGGGAAGGAAAGGGCAGAATTTCTCCACAGCCCCGAGCCTGCAGCTGCCACCTGCTTGCTGGGAGGTGGCAGCCCCCCCCCAGGCAGAACACACACATGTAAACGACAAGACCGGTTATTTGTGACATGAGAACGTCACGGCAAAGCTAGTTGGAACCACCTCCATAAATCTGATTTCGTGAAGAGTAACAGAAGGTTTCATTTCAGAACAACCTCACCCATGCATGTTCCAAAATATCAACAATCCTATGAGAAACAGATGTCTCAAAAAGAGGAGGGAGGGAGTTGTCCTTCTCCCAGGGGCCCCTTTTCTGGCACCCAGGAGAGAGTCCTCCACCGCCTCCCTGCCAGACAAAAGGCGTGTGCCACCGGCTGCTTGGTGGTCGGGGCCGCCGAGCCTCGCGACCCTGGAAAGGTGGCCAGGAGCACTGAGCCAGCCAGGGCGTGAGAGGAACGATCCCAAGACGAGTGTTCAGGGGGCTCAGTGGGGGTCTCCCTTCCTCCCCATGTTTATCATCCGCAGTGCCCGCTTCCGTATTTCTTTGGTCCTCGCCCCATAGACGAGGGGGTTGAGCACGGGGGGCACCAGGAGGTAGACGTTGCTCATGGTGACCTGGACCAGCCGCGGCAGGTTCCTCCCAAACCTGTGCACCACGGAGAGGCCAATCAGGGGCACGTAGAAGGCCAGCACCACGCAGATGTGGGCCACGCACGTCCCGGCGGCCCGGAGCCGCTCCTCCCTCGACGGCAGCCGCAGGACGCTCCGGATGATCATCGCGTAGGACACGAAGATGAGCAGGGAGTCCAGGCCCATCACCAGCAGGATGGCCGTCAGCCCGTACACCACGTTGGGCGTCACGTTGCCCGAGCCCAGGTGCATCACGTCCTGGTGGAGGCAGTAGGAGTGCGTGAGGTTGGCGGGGCTGCAGAAGGCGAGGCGGTGGATGAGCAGGGGCAGCGGGAGGAAGAAGCCCACCCCTCTCGCCACGGCCAGCAGGCCCACCTTCGCCATCACCGGGCGGGTGAGGACGGCGGAGTGCTGCAGCGGGTGGCAGATGGCCACATACCGGTCCACGGCCATGGCCAGGAGGACGGTGGACTGGATGCCCGACAGGGAGTGGATGAAGAACATCTGGCTCAGGCAGGCGCCGTAGCCGATCTCCCGGGCGTCGAACCAGAGCAGGGCGAGCATCTTGGGCATGGTGCAGGTGGAGAGGGCCAGGTCCACCGCCGCCAGCATGCAGAGGAGGAGGTTCATGGGCGCGTGCAGGGCCGGCTCGGCCCTGACGACGAGCGCGATGGTCGCGTTGCCCACCAGGGCCACCAGGTACATGGCGCACAGCGGGAAGGCCAGCCAGAAGTGGGCCGCTTCCATGTCGGGCAGGCCCACCAAGGTGAACGAGGCAGGCAGGCCGTGGGTCCCGTTCGCGGGGGGCAGGCCCTCCCTGCCGCACGCCGGATGTGCCATGTGCTGCTGCTGCTGGTGCTGCTGCGAGAGAAGGAGAAATGCTTGTTGTGAAGCGTCAGGGGAGCTGGGGGCCAGAGCCCTCTTAGCCCCAGGGCCCCCCCCCAAGCGTGGCAGGGGGTGCTGTGCCCGCCGCTCGGCTGGGTGCCTCTTGCCCGGGGCTGAGAGGGGCGGCCGCTGCCAGGAGTGGGCTTAGCGAGGAATCGAGAAAACGTGGGGCCTGGGCTTTGTTCTTGGAGAGCCTGGAATCCCAAACTGGGACAGAACCCAAAATTCCAGGAAGAGGAGCGGAGAGACAACAAGTCAGCTGCCAGCCTTGTGGCCCCTCCAAGCTCGACCCGCTTGTGGAGGAGGAGGCCTTGGTGGCCCCGGTTCCTCAGGCGCGTGAAGCGGAGCCTGGGGGGGGGGCAAACTCCCCTCCTGCCCACGTGCCGGGGGGGGGGGCTGCAAGCAGAGAGGGCAGTGGGCGTGGAAGCTTCGGCCAGGAAAACGTGCTGGTCCATAATGCACTGCAGGGCTCTGAGGGTGACACCCGGTGCACCGAGAGGGAGAGCAGGCAGGGTGGACCGGACCGGACCGGACTGGACCAGACTGGACCAGACCGCCCCGCGGGGCAGCTGCTTCTGCTGCCTGAGTCTGGCTGCTGGCTGCTGGCCCGGGAGGTGGCAACCCCATGCGAGGGTCTGCGCGCCACTCAGCAGCACGGCACGTGGCAAAGGGCGGCTCGGGCCGTGGGTCCCACTCCCTCGGCGCCGCTCCTGAGCGCTTTGCAGGATCAGGGCCTCAGCCCAGCGCCCAGCGGGGCACTCGGGGCTGCACACCGGGCTGCCATGGATGCAGGCCGAGCCGAGGAATGCAGCGCGACCGACCCGGAGCCGCCACAGCCTGAGCGAGAGCGAGATCGCTCGCCCAGCTGAAATGCATCCACGCACCAGTCGGTCAGTGGAGGACGAGAGCGAAGGGGCTTGCGAAGCCCCCCCCCCCCGCCGCCTTGCCCCTTCGCCCCTCAGCTGCAGCCTGCCCAGCGTCGCGGGCCTGGGGCAGTTCCCACGGAGTCGTGCACGGAGTCACAGCGCTCGGCCGAGGCTCTCAGGAAGCTGTGTTTATTCGGAGAGCGGCCAACGCGCCCCGAGGGGCCGGTTCCCAGGCGTGCCTCGCCCAGACTTGGCACACGCCCCGCCAGGGAGCCGGGCATCCCCCCGGAGGCTTCCGCAGGCTGCCGCCCAGCCCCAAGACAGCCTCGGCGGGCGCGGCTGCGGCTGCGGCTCCGGGCCGGCGCGGGGCTCCTCGCCGCCGCGCTCCAGCCCCTTGCTGTCCCCTGCGCCCGCGGCCGGCCCCTTCCCCCCCGCAGGGATGCTACTGCACCGCGAGGCCCTGGAGCGACGGGCAGCCGCGGGGCTCCGTCCCGGCAGAGCGCCCCCCCGGCCACGGAGTCCGACAAGGCCTCCGCGCTGCGCGAGCGAGCAGCTCCGGCGCGCCTCGACGCGACGCTCCCGCCCGTTCCTGCTGCGGAGCCCCTGCCCGGAGAGGGACTGGGCCCGGGCTCCGGGAGCGCCTTCCCGCTAGGCAGCCGCTGCCCGAGGCCTTCGCCCCTGCAGCCCTCCCGGGACGGCCGCGGCGGCCGCCGCCCCACAGAAACACCGGCGCGGGGGCGGCGCGGGAGCAGCCCTCCGGAGGGGTCGGATCTCGGCTCCCAGCAGCCCTGCCCCTGGCCATCCCGGCTCCGGGCGCTGGTCCAGAGGCGCCTTCTGTCCTGACCTACACCGTGGACCCCACGCAACCTGCGCTGGAGCCGAGCAGCCCGAGGCGGCCAGAGCGGGCGTCTCTCTCTCTCTTTCCCCCTCTCTGAACAGGAACGGGGCACTCCGCGGAAAACGTCCCGTGTCCGTCCATCAGCCGCAGCGGGAGGAAGGTCCGGAGCGCCATGTGCTGGCCAGGGCGCGCGCGGTGCCACCCGAGGCTTGTGCCCCCGCCGGCCGCCACCCCCAGGCCGCGAGCTCTGGCCCCGGGGCATCTGGAGAGGCGCGCTCCTGGCCGCCAGCGCCCGTGGCAGCCCCGCACCCGCCAGGTGCCCCGGGGCCTCCGCCGCGCACGCACCGCGGGACCGGCCCGCCCGCCCGTTCTCCGGCGCGCGACGACCCCAGCCCCGCGGCGCCCGGCCCGGCGAATTCGGGGGCCAGAGGGGGAGGAAGGGGGAGGCCTCTCGCATACCGGAGAAAGCAGGCGCCCATGCGAAACCGCCCGAGCATCTCCCCGTCTTCCGCGGTCGAGGCACTGGACGCCGCGGCTGCCCTTGCTGGTCCTCCCGCTGCAGGGCAGGGAACTCCCCGCCCAAGGGCCCAGCCCCGCTCCGCCTCCAAGGTCTTCACGGGCGGAGATGCCTTTCCAAAATAGGGCAGGCACTTTTTTGGAGACTGGGGCAACCGACAGAAAAGAGCAGATGGAGCACCTCCCCCCTCCCCCCACCGCAGGCAAAAGCCGAAGCCAGCTCCGAGGTCCGCACTAGGCCTAAGCAAAGCATGCAAGGCGAGCTGGGCTGGATCAGGCCCCGGGCCGGTTCCCACGCCACCCAGCCGGCCGCCTCCGAGGAGCCCAGGAGCCAGACCTGAGCACAAAGGCCCGCTCCTGGCCGTGTGCCCCGGTGGCTGGGCGCGTGGGCACACTGCCACCTGCGGTAGCCACAGCACAGCCCCCGCCCCTCCGGGAAGGCGTCTGGCCCCCTTTCAGAGTGCCCAAACGGGGGCCATCCCTGCCCCCACGAGGGGGAACCCCTCCCCTGCAGGGTGTACTGCTCGCTCGGAGGTTCCCTTTCGCCCGGGGCCGGGCCCTTCCCACAGCAGGCAGCTGCGCATTCGAGCGCCATGGGGCGAGTCGAGGGCTTCCATCCGGCCGCCCCCCGTTTGTGGGCTTTTCCCAGGCCCGTGGCTGCTTGCTCACCTCCCATCAGCATATGAGAGAAGCGGCGAGTCCACTCCTGTGCACGGAACCGGCCAGCCCTGCGAGGCGCCTTCTCCCAGCCTGGGGAGAACCCCTTGGAGCGGCTCCTTTTCGCCTGAAGCGCCTCGAAGGATGCAAGGAGGCTGATCGCCACCTTAGCAGGGCCACGTCTCTCCAGCCTGCCGGGGCAGGTTGGGTGTTTCTGTTATCGGACAGCACGTGTGTATTTGCAGTCTTCAGAACCTACGGATGGGCATCGGCCCGACAAGTAAGCACGTCTGCCTTTTCTCTGCCATCTGTTATCGTTCTGCCATCCAGATTGCGCATTTGAGCCCCTGTTCTTCCCCCTGCCCTTGCTCTGGACAGATCTGAAGAAGGCCTGTTGAAGATGCCGTTGTTGCTTTGCGCATCCCAAGCCAGTCTCAGTTCGTTCCTAGCTTAGCTTTCCCGACACCTTCCCTGCCATTCCAGGCTACCAGCCTGCATTATTCCTTCGCAGCCCAGCCTTCCTTCCGCCTTCTGTACATGCTCCCACGTTCCCTGCAAGGGATGCTGCCTCAATGAAGGATCACCACCAGGAGGAGGCAGGAGGGGCTGCCAGCCTGTGCCCTGCAGCCACAGGCTCAGAGAGCTTGGAGGCAGCAGGACGAAGGGGCAGGGCAGAAAGCAGAGGACCAGCAGCCCCTGGGGCTGGTGCAGGACTCTCTGGATGGCAGCTGTCCAGGGTGCTTCTGCTCCGCATGAGGATCTGTCAAGACAGCTGTCAAAGAGATGCCTCAGGCCTCCCAGGCCAAAGGAGCCCCCCCCCCCGCACGCCCTGGCTGTAGCTGACCCAGGCCTTCTCACTGCTTGGGGAAGGGCAGTGCATCAGCCCCCAGGAGCCTGGAGGAATGGGGGGCTTCGAGGTTCCGGGCCGCCCACACCCGACATCCCTCTTTGCATCCAGGAGTCCCTGCCTCTTTATCTCTGATTCAACAAGGGAGGGAAGAGAGGCAGACGAGGAGGAGCCCATGTCATGCTGAGACCAAGGCGGGGTCCCAGGGAAAGCGTGTCCCCTTGGGCCGTCCTCCCCCCTGGCATGCTGGCCCTCCGTGAAGCCACAGGGAAAGTGGCCCGTCTCAGGAGCAAAGGTCGCTCCGCCCAGCAGCTGTCCACAGTGGCCTGCCAGGTGCCCACGGAATCCACGGGGAGTGTGTGCCACGCGCCCCCCCGCTCGGGTCCCTCAGCAACCGGCGCACAGGGGCAGATCAGGCCCCCAAGGACCTGACAAGGACTGGCGCTGGGCAACTCACAGCAAGCCACAGGACTCGCTCCGCCGGGAAGGCAGCACCTTGCCCCCCCCCCCCCGATCAGCCCTTTCTTAAAGAATCACATGGCTCTGGAGTCGCTGAGAACATTTTTGTGGCCCTGAAACAACTGACTTCATTTCTGCTCAAAAGGAAAAATCTCGGAGAAAGGACGTCATCTGTTGAAGTGGCTGGGCTCCTTTTGGCTTTTCCAGAGAAGAGAGTTTGTTCGCAGAGGCAAGAGCAAGCTCCTGCAGCAGCCCCGGGTGGATGCCTGCCTCCTCGTGGTGGGCGAGGTGGGGGGGCTGCCCACACAGGTGGGGGCCAGCCAGGCCGGGCAGGCGGGGGAGGCCCATCTGCCCACTGAGAGCGAAGATGCTCTGAGATGCGTGTCCAGAGGCTTCCTCGGGACCAGATTCTTCTTCGGCCCGACCCGGTTCCTCTCCGGCACTTGATTTAGCGAGCTGCAGAGGCAGCTCACTGGGGATTTCGGGGGCTATTCTTGTCCCAAGGCTTCCTCGGAAGTGCGGGACCTCCTGGGATCGGCCCATGTGCCTCCAGCCCTTGGCCCTCGCTCCTGTGCAGGGGGCAGGAACCCGTGGCCCCAAGGCTGCCTGCCGCGCGTTAAGTCTCCAGAAATGCTGCCCCCCCCCCCGTTTCCCACACGGGGAAGGGGAGGATGCCGAAGCACAGGAAGCCGCAGAGGGAGGGGCGTTCCTGAGCGGGAAGGGGATGCTGGCCTTTCCCTGGAACTGCAACGGACGGAGTGGTGGGGAGCGCAGGACACGGGCGGTGCTGCTGCCTGCTGAGTCCGCCCAGCACGGCCTGCAGACGTGGACGGGCTGGGCTTCTGCAAGACCTTGGGCAGCCTGAGCCGCTCCATTGCCTGCCTCCTGCCGGGTCCGGTCTCTGCAGCAAAGATGGGGCCCCCCGGCCCCGCTGCGGAGGTCCCCTCACGGCTTGTGGAGCCTCCTGGGGTCGTGCCAGGAGCAGGTGTGAGCCTTGGGCCCGTCTCTGCAGGACTCGGCACTGCTGTTGCCAGCTGGCGGTCCGGCGGCGTCTCCTGGGCAGTCCCTGCTGCAGAACCGACACGGCGCGCAATTTGGCCCACCTCTTTCCCCCTTCATCAGCTTTTCGCCAGAGTCGAATCTCCTCCCATGGGAGAGGATCCAGGCCACGGATCGCCTCTGCTGCCCCATCTGGCATGGTCCCCACTCCAGCTGCTCTCTGCCCCACCACAGCTCATCTGGCCACTTTTCCCCTTTTGGTAAGGAGCCGGAGCTCCGGCCAGGGCCTCCCGATGCCATGCCGAGCACTGCCCTGAGGCGCTGCACCTGCAGCGGCAGCCGGGCTCCTCTGGCTCTCTCTCTTCCGCTTCCTTTCAGACACAGAGGCATTTCCACTGCCACGACAGAAGCCCCTCCCGGCTTACGCCAAGGCTGATACGGTGGGTGCTCTGAGCCTGCGTGGGCAGCTGCTGCCTCCCGTGAGTTGCTGCCTTCTCAGACTGCTGCTCAGGTGTGCAGAAAGGACTCTGCAGAAGCAGAGCATGGAAACAACAGAAACAGAAGCAGAGCGAGCCAGAAGGGGTCACCCAGACCGTCTAGTCCACTGGTGGCAAAGCTATGGCAGGTGTGCCACAGCGGGCACGCAGAGCCCTCTCTGCCGGCACGCACGCCAAGTCGCCCCACCATCGCCCCGGCAGCCGAGCATCGGATGACAGCGCACAGAGCGGCCATGCGCACGCTCGGAAAGGAGCATCGGCGCCAGGCGGTGATGGCATGAGCCACGACTCATTAGCCGAGACTCGTCTGAGCTTTCGCATGGCCAGTCAGTGCACTGCCAAGGGGGTGTGTGTGTGTGTGTGTGTTGGGTTGCAGTTTGGGCACTCGCTCTCTGAAAGGTTCGCCATCACTGGGTTGGGGTTACAAAAGCTTCCTGAGAGTTTGTTTGTTTATTTATTTAGGAAGCT